CTTGTCCTGCGAAGTTTTGGCCACCCCATCGCCCCTGCTGGGAGTGCACACCCCAAACTGGCAGAGTTTTAGCCAAATTCAGCCCTGCACAAATGTGAAACCCTTCCTTTGTGGGAGATAGATGTGTCAAGAGTGTGACAGCACTGGCTCCCCCAGGTCTGGCACCCAGGGAGCAGGAATATGTTGCAGCTGGAGAGAGCAGGGGTCCATGACTGCTGCCCTGGGTTCAGGGTGGCAAGAAACAGCGTGACTTTGCATCCCATCTCCTCCAGCTGCCTGTGCTTCCCCGGGAACAGAGCCTTTTGGATATGTTTTCATCAGCTGACATTTAAGTATGAATAAACAACTATTATGCATGCACTAAATATTCATGTTTTACAACATTGCCATTGCACTGAGGAATTATTTATGAGGCTGCTGCTCCCCGCTGGGGTGAGGGGACCCGGCTCAGGGCAGCCAGGAGCAGCCCCTGGGCTGTCGCTGTGGCCACGACAGAGCCACAATGTTGATGTTTGTGTCTTGCCAAAGGATGGCATTTCCTAGAGCTTCCTCTGAGGTGCAAAGGCAAGGAATCCTGCTCTGGAGGATGTTGTGTCCTGAACCTTTGTGTTCCAGCTGAGACTTTGGGGCACCTTTCCGCCTCCTTCTCCTCCTTCTCCTCTGGCAGAGGTCATTGCCTCAGCCCCCAGGGCTGCTGTGACAGCCCTGTGTGTGCTGCCAAGGCAAGATGCTTCACTGCATCTCTGGGCTCTGTTCAGCAAGAATTTTAATAAATAATAATTAAAAAAAAAAATTATGACAAAGATACACTCTTCTCAGAAAACCAGACTGCAAACAGAAGTGCCTCCTTCTGAACCCAAGGGCTGAGCATTAAAGGGGTTACTTAACTTAAATAACAGACTTACTGAAAAGCTGTTCTTGAAACCTAAAGCTGTTCTTGAAACCTGGGGCCCTTTCTATACCTGCTGCTGGAGGATGGGGACAGGGACACCTTGGGCAGTGTTTTGAACATCCACTGCCCTGGAGCCACCAACAGGAGGCCACAGCTTGAGGAGTCACCACTGTGAAGGGACCCGAGGGGAGAAGAGGGAGCTGGCAGCTTCCAGTGTGGGTGTCACCAGGGATTGTCCTTGGAGGGTGGCAATCCATTTCTGAGCAGCACTGATGGCCACTCTATTACTACTAACAGGCTGTGTAACCTCACTGGGCTAGACATGGATGGCAAAGTGCGTAGGGAAGCATTTTTGGGGTGATAAAACCCCCTGTGAGCTGCAGAGGGAGAGGCAGACCAGAGGAAATTGATGTGTTGCCACTGCTGGGAGGCACATGGGCCTGAAGGGTAAGCCCCAGAGCGATACAGGTTTTGAGCAACAATATTTTCATTAAATAACATCACGATTTTTTATAGTTTCTGCAGGGATGTCAATACCTTTAAGAAAATGCCTGATTCTATTCAATAATAATAAAGTTATTCTCAAGATAATTTTCTAAGTAAAATCACCCATAAAAGCTCAAGTTGCATTAGCAGCATTTCTTTCCAGCAGTGTTATTATCAAGGACTAAAACGGGCAGCTGGCCCCTCTGCTCCCCTTCAGGCAGACAGCAGGCAGCACCTTCTTCCTCTGCTCAAGTAATTTAAGGCAGTAGTGAAACATTCCTTCAAGGAAGCTCCTGCAGCTTCAGGTTCGTGTGGCAGTGGAGCCTGGGTGTGCATTTTTATTTACACTTCCACTGTTTACCTCACTTATGGGGGGCTTCATCGTGCTTCTGTGGCAAAACTGATCTCTGTTTTGGGCACTTGCACTCCAATCACTCACAAAAATCACCCAATCTCTAGCTGATCCCCTACTTCATCCCACCTTTCTGTTTCCTCCTGTTTCCCTGGTTTTGGTCCCTCCAGCCGTGCTTTCTCTCAGACCTTCACTAAAAAACTTCAGCACCACAAAACTGCCCTGCCAGATGTCTCAGCCTGGCCAGAGTTGCCCTTGGCATCCTTCAGCATTTAAAAGCACTCTATTAAAACCAGAGCAAGACACCCAGATGGGGTCATTCCCTTCCTTTAGGCAGTGGAAGGCAGCAGCTGCTGGAAGAGGTGGGAGGCCAGGGCCCCATTAACAAGGACAGGGTTTAGCAATGGGACACAGAGTGAGCTAATGAACAATTAAGTCAGAAGCTTTCACTGGAAACCCATTTCCACCTCCAACAACTCCACATTCCCTGACCCAGCTGGACATTCCCTGATCCCCAGGTCCTGGATCATTGATGTCACCCATGGCCACTGTGGGGCATCCCCAGCTCCATCCCACTGCCCATCAAGCACATCAGCTGGCACAGCTCCATGGGGCTGCTGGGCCATCTGGGGAAGTGGCTTTCCAGTGATTGCTGGGGGGACTTTGGTCATGGCTCCCCAACCCCAGCAATTTGGAAGTGAGGGCAGGGCCCTCACCATGCAGACAGACAGACATGGGCGAGTCCCTGGCATGTGGAAGGGGCTGGCATGGGAAAAAAGGCTTTTCAGGGCTTTCCCCTGAAAGCCTGGGGAAGCTGTTGGTGGTGCAGACTCCTGCCCCTGTGCCCATACATCTGCTGGTCTCCACACTAAAGACATTTACTGTACGTGTTTGCCACCAGGGAAAGCCGCTGTCCGCCACTCAGCCCTGTTACTGGAAGAGCAGCAGCGGCATTTGTGCTGCTCTCAATATTGCGTGTCCAGGACCTGCTCTGTGGCTTTCGAAATCCTCCTCCCAACTCCCCACATCCCCCATGGCCAATTAGGGAGGATGCTGGTGGGGGTGACGGCCCCCTCCCCCGTGTGGCAGTGCCGCGCCGAGGGACTGGCGCCGAGCGGCGCGAGCCGTCCCTTCTTGGCCTTGGGAAGCGCGGTTCACAAGCCAATGACAGAGGGATGAAATGCAAATATAGCATTTCTTGTAAAGTAAATTAAGCTAACAACGAGGTAACAAACCGCTGTTAATATTAGATTAACTTGTTTGGCAAGATATGAAATGGGGTGAGCTGGATTGCCGGTGGCGGAGTGCTCGATAGCGCTAATGCTGCTCAGGGAAGTATAACATCCCTCTGACAGACAGGGGCATGCTCCAAAAATAAAATAAATTAAGTCTGCTGGAAGAGCCAGAATCTGTGCAGCAATTACACCAGCATTAAAGATGAATGGAGACGAAGCCCAAGATTTTGATTGCCTTTAAACACTGGCTTGTTTTTTAATCTCAAAATCAGACTGTGCTGTGATCAGCCATTAGCCCCAACCGCAAAAAGAGAAAGAGACAGATGATCCTAGATTTTAACATCTCTAGTATGAACTTGAAATTCCTCTTTGAGCTAAGATAAGGAGGCAAATGGCAGATGGTGCAGAAGTTAAAGCCAGTTGAGTGCAGTTGGCAGCTGGGGCTGACATTGGCAACGATGGAGGCTTGGGCAGAGGGGTCACCGGCAGCCGTGTCCTCAACGTGGGGACTGAGGCACGGGCTTAAATGTCATCCTATATGCCAGTGGTCACTAAACTGATTAAGCAGTGGTTATCTTTAGCAGTAAAAAGGCTATCTGCTAATACTAAATTATTAGTGGCTAAAATGCCATTTACTCTGCTCTGATTCCTTGAATGAATATTTATGCCAAGTGATGACTATAACACCATCAAAAGGTTTCCGTGCTCTGCTCCGTAGAGTGGAAGCGATTATTCAACAGCAGGTCTGCACTCCAGCCCTTGTTTCTATTAAGCAAATTTGCAGTATTCAGACAAGAATTCATGATTGCATTGTCCTCCTGGGATTTTTATTTTTAAAGGTGACCCACCTCCAACGCTCTTTGGGGCATGGGTTGTGGCAGGTAGGCCCTGCCTGCTGTGCAGACACAGAAAAGAGGGATACAAATGCTGTACAATTTCTCCCTTGTATTTTTTCTTTTTAAAATATAAGACAATTGGCTATTTCCCCCACCCCATTCAGCACTTTGGGTTTCCTCCCATCCACCCAGTCTCCAGCTGGGGCTTTTGCACAAGCCAGCATAATGAAATTCCTGCTTAGGTGTCAGGAATCAGATCTACAGCAATGGTGACAAATCAAGAGGGTTGCCCATCAGAAATGAAGCCACATTTCCCCAGCAGGGGAGCAGTGCCTGCATTTCACAGCAAGGCAAGTGTGGGGAGGCAATGGGAAGCCGCTGCTCCTGAGTCATGGCCCATGGTGTAACTTGAGGTACCTTTCTCTGAAGGACTCCGTCCTTAAACTGGTACCAAACCCCTCTTTAAGAATCTGAACTGAAATGGAACAGCCCTTCCAGCTGGTTTGGTGAGTGGTTTTGGTTTGGTTTTACTGCTGCCCTCCTCACCACAGGACAGCAGCCTTGCCCTGCCATTGTGTGCTGAATTGCAGCAAATCCCACGGGCAGGCAGGCAGGGAGCCATCAATCCAGAGCACAGGCAGGGGCAGCGGCTGCCTGGCAGCCCATTTCAAAGCAAGGAATAGAAACATTTGGGCAACAAGCTGCTCCTTCCATAGCCCCAGGGTGGCTGCCTCCAATAGTCTCTACAAAAAGAGCATCAGCTCTACAGCTTCTCTAAAGACAACCTCCCCCCACCCCAAGAAGCACTAAAATGGAACAGCAGTTTAAATACCACATATCCATAGGCAGCTATAAGTGGCTCTCTAATTGCTATTCCATGTTTATGGGAATAAAAAGGGATGAGGCCATGCATTTTATGCTGGGTCTCCCAACCCAAAACATCTGTTTGAGAAGAAAAATCACTCAATCAATCCACATGTCTGAGGTAGCTCTAGATGACAGGCAATATTTTGAAGCATGCTAAGTGTCTTGTGGTGCTTTGCTTCTGCTTAGCCATTATTCAGCACAGGTGTGTACATAAAAGCATTTCATGCAACAGGCAGAGCAGCACCAAGCTGCACTGCATCTGGCATTTGCAATTCAGGGAACACACACAAGCGACCCAGGACCAGCAACCAATTAAGTCACATCAGAAAAAAAAAAGTACTCGGTGTCTATTTATTAAAGGAAAGGGGGGTAAATCTAAGAAAAAGCAAGAAGACAAAATAAATAGAATTGCAGCCATCCTTTACAGCTACTGGTGCACTATATTAAAGTGACACTCACTATACAAAGAAATGTGTTTGATACAGTCCAGTGGGTTGCACATGAATTGCATAACCTTGAAAATCATTGCACAAAGCATCGCAGCAGGAACACAGTTCAGAATTTTTTTCTCCGGGAGATGCTTCAAATCTGATCGCTTTTATTGCGTGGGAGGTCAAAGCACCTGGCACGGAGTAAGCAAAAAGGGCTGGGAGCAGGGATCTGCTGCATCAGCGCCCGGGCACGTCCCAGCCCTGACATCAGCTCTCACAGCAGCTCTGACCTGGACAAGTGATGCCCCACGGGAAAATCCCACTGCCTAGCAAAGCTTTGGAATTAATATTCTGATCAATGCCCAGGCACCTGTTGGCAGGGCTTCAGGGAGCTGTTCCTTGCAGCCCAGACTGGAGGCACGGGCTCAGCCAGCCAGCAGGAATTCCATGGCAGAGCTCTGTCTGAATCCACAAGGAGCCTCTCAGCCAGCAGCTCAGCAGGCACAGCCGCCTCGGCGGGACCCTGCCAGCGAGGGTTCCCAGCCATCACCTGCCCACAGCTCGTTCCCTCCCTTTATACAGGGAAGCAGGTGGTTGGATGGAAGTCTCCACAACTCTGCAGCGGCATTTCCCCCAGTTATTGTGAGAGAACCTGCCTCTGCTGTGATCCATGCAGTTTCCAGGGATCTGTGTACACGTTTCCAATAGTCTGCTCAGCTAAAGCACGGGAAATACAGGCTTTTGCCACACGGGGAAGAAACCACGGCAAAGATGACCAGGAAACATTCATAATTTTTAATTCACACCAGTAATAAAATTGCATTACATTTTTCATAAAATAAATGTTCCAGTTTATATACAGAAAACAGACTGTACAGAGCCCTCCCCCAGACCCCAAAAACTCACAAACATACAGGCAATGCAGTGCTCAGCTAAGCAGGCACAACTGTACATCTAAAATTGTAACTGCTTTGTGTTGGGGGGGAAAAGTACTACAATGTATATAGTCCTCTCTGGACCAAGAATTAAAAAAATATTGCAGGCAAGCTGACAGGCGCCCTCGCTGCTCGTGCGGCCAAGCGCCCATCCCACAGTGCTCCAGCCAAGCAGGGGCTGTTATTGAACCTGGGACTCGAAGCTCCCGTTCAGCTGCCCTTCCTCATAGTCCATCTGACACAAGATCATGTTGTTCTTCAGGAAAAACTTGTCTCCCACGCAGAATCTGGAGGATGAAGAAGAAAGGGTTAGTGGGTGTGAGTATGAGCAGATGTTAGAACGGGGCGGGTTTGAGGCAGTTTGGGTCTGACAGTGACTCTGGTGAGCAGGGTTTGATTTCCAGCTCTGCCGGTGCTTCTCCCCTTGCCGTCCCAGGGTTTTTCTCTCCCTTTCCCTGGCACATCCGTGCTTGGCTCCAGGCCGCAGGGAGCAGCTTGGGGAGCAGGTCCCACTCTCTGCAGGGCCCCGTGCCAGCTGCAGGAGGAGGCTGGGAGCAGTTAAGGGATTTGTCCCTGCAGACAAGAGATGTTGGCTCTCCAACCAGGAAATCAAGCGGGCAATATTACACTGAGCCTATTTCAAGTTTTTGCTGGTATCCACATTTCCACAGTTCCCTCGGGTGAAGCAGTATTTACACTAATTTCCAGGCAAGGACTGGCTATTAAGTCCTCCCTCACCCCCTTGTGTACAGTGCTGAACAATAAATAGAAATTTCTCGGTGGCTGGACTCCTAACCTTTATCTTCATTGAGCGAAGGGCACTGCTCTCTATATACCATGTAAATTGTTCTGTTTGTCTTGAAGTTGACAGAGAAGCTTGTGATATTTAACAATTTTATTTGACCATTAAGGTCAAAAAAGTTCCACATATAAGATCGGAGAGGTGTGAATTGACAGCCAATAGCTTTTTCCACCCTGCCTGCCTGCCCAGGAATCAGAAGCTAATCTTTACTTCTTAAGATAACAAATAATGTTCTCTGCACCCAGTTCAGGGGCTGTTTTCTGTCCATCATGCTGGCAGGACAATGACAGACCAGAGCACAGGCTGCCCCAAGAGCTGAGTCTGAAATCAGCCAAAGGTCCCTGAAGCAAAGGGACAACCTGGGTCAGGCACTGTGCCTCAAGGCAGCTCTGCACTGAAAGGAAGGGGTAGGTACCAGCCTCTGGCGAGGCCAAGTATCTGCAGGGCTTTGAAGGAACATCATTGGAGGTGACCCCATCCTCAGGAGACTTAGCAGACCTCAAAATGCCCATTTCCCCTGCTCCCAGGCAGAGCTTTGGCACTGCCTACCCCTTGTCTAAAGTGCTTTCATCATCTGTAACTCAGGCAGCTTCAGGCAGAGCATCTCCATAAAAAAGAGTTTTCTGCTAAAAGAATAGGACTGATAATTTTAGAGCTCCTTTATAGGCCCAACACAGGCACAAGATTTCTATATTTTGACACCTGCAAATAGGCTGATGCATTTGCCAAGTTGGTACAGAGAGAACTGGGCATAGGTTCACACTTTATAGGATTTCATTGAAGACCTTCCATCTTCTTCCCTCTGTGGCATGTTCTCTAGTAATTCTGAAATTCAACCTTTTCTGTATGTTAAAAAGATAAAGATTATTCCTAATTTCCATTAACAGCTTTTATGGTAAAAACTGTACTGCACACTCTCTCCTTAACACCGCCTTCCCCAGGAGCAGGTTTACTCACAATAAAGAACAGACACAGCTGCTTGCTTTTCACTACTTATCCCCACATTAAGTGCCATAGAAACCTCCAGGAAGAGAAATGCAAAAATTATTCTTGCCCACCAGCATCATCAACAGCTGTCTCTTGCTAAACCTGGTTTTGGGTGTAGAGGAGCCAGAGGATGAGCTGGGGAGTTTGGGAGTTGGAAGGCGTGGGGGTGTGTAGAAGCTCATGGGAACTGAAATGCTCTACAGGGGGACCCAAATGTGATGTGAAGTTTTGGGAGAAGGGTTTGATTCACTGGAAAGGCAACTGTTTCTACTTGCCAGTCCTGCAAACCCACCAGTAAACTGGGGTCTCTTCAGCTGGTGCATCACAAATGGAGACAGAGGGGTTAAGAGGGTGACCTCAGGCCCAGATTCACACTGCCAGCCCGAAATGATCAGAGCAGGGATGCTGCAGAGCCCATTTGGGTGATCAAATTCCAGCCAGCAGCAGTCACAAATAGGTGCTGAACCTACTCTGCCATTTCTTTAGTGATTTTCTTCTGAGCAAACCCACACTTGAGATAATGCAAGAGAAGCATTTCCTGCAACCCTTGTAACACTGACCTATCAGCCAGTTACAGCAGTGACCAGCTTTTATTCACCACTACAATGACCATGACGACTTTAGAACAGTTTAAAGCATGGTAGGCTGAGTGGTAATGCAGGACTTAATGCAAAACTGGTGTTTTAGGGAATGAAAGTAATGAAAACACTGCACACTTGGTAAAAATATTAGAGATTTTGCTGTGATGGATTTAGCACTCTGTATTAGAGAGTCAAGCTATGGAAAGGTAAGCAAGCTGGAAGAGAACTAAGGAAAAGTTTTCATCATCAAATCTTTTCAGAGCTGAAGAACAAGATGGGGTTTCAGGTGAAGTTTCCAATTCAGAACCAGAACTGGTATCCACATCCACCTCTGCAGTTTGGGCTTTAGGGTTACTTAATCTCACTGGTCTCAGTTCAGCACCCAATGCTGTCTGTTACTAGATCACTTCCATTCTGCCCTTTCCAGCCCAAGTCTCTACAGAATAAGTCATAAGAATTAGTAGCCCTCTGACCCCAGCCAAAATTAAGAATCTACACGTAGCCCACCTTTCAGAACAACTCAGCCCCTCACAAACTGAGCAAATCCCTTGTGCATCACAGCACAACTCTGCCAGAACCGGGGGATTACCTGCACTCTCCTGCCAGGCAGTGACGGCCCTGGAGGTTGTCTGAAGGACAGAGTGGCACCACACTGGCAATTGAAGAGGGAAGGGAGGGAGAGAGGTGCTTTGGAGCCTTTGAAATGAAGGGTGAAATTTAAAAGAAATTACTGAAAATGAAAACTAGGCAGCAGTAGGATTTTCTGTGAGAGAAGGGTGAAGCAGGGCTTTGATGAGAGATACTAAGCTTGCAGACTCCAAGGCCAACTCCAAGGACTCCACATCCCAGGGCTGCCTGAAGGGACATTTATAATGCTCCAGCCCCAGGTTTGGTGTGGAGTTTGGGAGAAACTCTCTCCTGCCTGGGAATCATCAGGAGGCTGAAAAGAGCTGATCCTGAGGGCTGAGCCTGGCAGCACCCACAGCACTCCCGAGGCTGGAGACAAATCCCAGAGCTGGAGATTGTCACGGTGTGGAAGGAGCATCTTAGGGGACGAGGTGGGATCAGCTCTGTGTTCAAGAGCCACAAAACAAGACTGGGCAGCTGGAAGAGAGCCCAAGGCCAGGAGCCACTAGATGTCACTGCCGCCCCGGCACTGCCACCGCGGCCGTGCGGTGACAGCATTAGTGGGAGTTCTGCACCTCGAACACCTCCTCCGTGCTCAGGCACCAAATTCACCTCTAGGGCTGAGCCCTAGAGACCAGAATGGGACAGCATCTCCCAAATTCAGGGGTTTGGGAATGGGACAGCATCTCCCAGGTTCAGGACAGAATTTGGTCATACATCTTCCCACAAATTTTGTCATCTCTCTCACACTTTCCCATGGGATGAGGCTTTGGTATCCCAGTTTCATCTTTGGGAAACACAACCACAGATCCAGAACAGGAACACCAGCACAGCCCTTGGACACTGGGCAGTCTCTACAGCCTGACTGAACAAGAAATAAGAACTGCAAGCAGTTCCAGGTCTATCTCAGACAAGGATGGGCAAATGGATACATCAGAAGGTGACACATTATCACATCTGGTTCTGTGGGCTTCCATTCTGCCTATGATGATCAACAAACATGGTGCTGGGAAGATTTTTTCACATCCTTCCCGAACTCTACTGGCTACAGGTAGTTCAAATGAAAACACTGTGCATGGCCCTTTATTATAGTCCCTGATGTCCATCCTCCACCCAGCAGAAACAGTAAGCCCACTCAAAATTATACCACCAAGATCCCCTGTTAATTACACACCAACTAAAGGGATTTTCTCCTAGTGTTGGAAAGGGCTTGGCCAGAGTATTTTTCTCCTTCCTGTCCCTTCTCTCTATCCTTCTTCTTTTCCACCCCCAGTTTTAAGCGTGTCAGAAACGTGATTTAAGAGAGATAATGTCAGTTTGCCAGAGGAGGTCCATTCTCCATCATCTGCCTTCTGCAAAGAGGGGAGCTCCTGAAAGGACGCTGGAGCAGTTTGTTCTATTCAGCAGCAGCTGTACAGTCTGTGTCCTCCCCCCTGCCCCTCCAACTCCCACCAGCTCCAAGGGGATTTGCAGTAAAAGGGCTACAGGTACTTACACGCATCCCCCAGGTCAGCCTGGCAAGCCAGCCCCGCCAGCAGGCTGCGAGCCCCAGACGGGCTGCGTGCATCAAACATTTCATTTCCCGTTTTCTGGGCAAAGGTATGAATTAGTTTGTGTGTACAATAACTGTGTCCTCACCGCTGGTTGCAGAGCTGACAGGCAAAGCAGTCCAAATGGTAAACATTATCTCTGGCCCTCATCACCATCTCAAAGGCAGGGATCAGTTTACTGCAGGCAGCACAATTCCCGGTGGTACCAAAGAGCCTGCCAAAGAAGCACAATCATTAGAAGCCATTTTAATTAAATGGTGGAAGGACTAATTAAGTGTAATTAGCAGTATCAAATACTGTATTGCACCAATAAATAGAAGCTGCAGTCTCCATTTCACTGACCAACCAGCGCACGGGAACTTGGGATAAAACTGCCTGGTGAGCAGGCTCCGATCGTCGAGATGAAACTTCATTTGGTTTGTGAGCCTAGGGCTAATTTGCTGTCTAATGGAGAAAAGCATTAAACACTTAGAGCACTATTTTGGGGCTCACAAAATTTCAGTCAAAAGCTATCTGCCTCTCTGCAGCAGTGGGGTAGGTGGTGGGAGCTGCCCATCCTGCTCCCCACACTTTGCTGCGCTTGGCCGCAGCCTGACGGAGGGACAGGATGGCAGCAGGACACACAAGTCCCATGAACTTTGCCACTCCTGGCAGGCAGCGCTGTGACAGAGCTCAGGGAGAACCTCACTTACCTGCTGATAAAAAGAAAAAAGCACGACATATCTCGCAATGAGCACACAGCATTTCCTGAGCCAGGCACCTCAGAGAGCGAGCCCTTCTCCCGGGCTGTGCCCCCCTCCTCCTGCCTCCCCAGCCCTCCCAGGAGCCAGCTAAGCCCTTCCACAGTGGCCTGGACAGCATGCTCAGCCGTTCCACTCCAGCTCCCCGGCCCTCCAGGACAGCCCTTCAGCACTGGAAGCTCTGCCATTCTCATCTTGGCTTTCACTATCTGTCTCCCCAGATGTCTGCTGCTGTTGCAGCTCCTGCCGGGGGACTCGAGCAAGACTGCGGCATCCTTCCCGCGGCCCCCTTGCCCGAGGTGTCCCTGCAGACCCCGTGTGCGCCAGGCTCCAGCCACGGGCTGACAGAACCAAGGTTCACCCCAGCCTCTGGTCACATGTCACTTGGCCTGGAAGATGATAAAAATGGTATTTTGGGGGTGATGAGCCTCAAGACGTACGATCCCTGCTGGCCATTAGCTCTGTGCACGCAACGCGCCGCTGCCCGCGGACAGATCTGGGCCCACCGTTTGTTTCAAGCCATCGGTTCTGGCTGATTCCACAACACGCAGATGAGAAGCATCAGGAAAATCTATAACCAATTTCTAAACCTGCAATTTGCCAGGCTAATCAATACTAATTATTACTGGCCAGTAATTGTGAATTGAAACACCCAGCAGTGTTACAGAAACCTCCACACAACTCTCCCACCCTCCTACAGTGCTGTGCTCCCAAAGTCAGCTCGCTCTCCAGATGTAAGAAAGCCCACCCTTATTTTTCTTTAGAAGTGGTATCAGTGGTCTTTCATTAGGCCTGGTGGGAAAATCCCAGACCTTCCTATGAAGAAACAGCACTGTGTTTTCCCTGAGAGCTAAACCACACAAACCAAAACAGAAACGCGTGTGCAGGATGGAAAATCTGCAGAGGGAGTACCAAAATTTCTTCCCCCGTGATCCCATCATCTGAAGGCTGAAAGGCAGAGTGAGACCCCAGCTGTATGTATGTTTTTGTACCACATGTATGCATGTTTTTTGCACCAGCAAAAGGCAGTCCCTTCCTCCCTCAGCAAGCTGACCCTTCTTGCTCCTGCCTCCACGAGCAGGCAAGGCAGGGGAGGCAGCTGGGCACGGGCCTCGGCTGCCTAACGCCAGCAGACAGGACTGCAAAAATGCAGCACTGAAAAGCATCCAGGTCTCCACCCTGGAAAGCCCTGGCTCTCATTCAGCACCCACTCACAAATCAAGCCATTAGTCCAGACATCCCTCCCTTCCCCAGCCTAGCTGCCCCTTTCCACTTGGGCACAGCAAAGCCTGACAGCTTTTGCCAGGATTTTCCCATTTCCCATAAAACCAGACATCCGTTTTTAGAGTACCCAAGTCACAGCAAACTAAAAAAAAAATGAGTCAAATGCATTAGGCAGGGAAACTGGGAGGTTAATCCTAGATTTGCTCTGTGCCCAGCACTGCTACATGCACAAGTATAAAATATCCATTATTCATTAGCATCACAGTTGTGTGGAGCTCAATCTAGATTAAACAAAATAAAGGGGCCCCAGACAGCACCATTTGCATTGTTAAGCAGGTGCTTTTCTTCAGCCTTCAAATAGGAGACTTTTCTAAATGGAAATGATGGGGAAATTTGGACAGATGTTCACTTAACTATTTAAACAGTTAGCTTAAGAAACATGAAAAATGTATTTGGCATCGTATTCACCTGTCTTCTTTCAGGGGTTTTGGGGGTAAACCAATTGTTAAACAGCTTTGACTGTTTGCATAAGAACTGAAGCTTATGTTCTGTCCAGCTGAAATCGTTTTGCCTTCTAATGTCTACATAACGTGGCTTCCAGCGAGTCAGCGTGCTAATCTTTATCTCTTCTATCAAGTTTCACAGTCCTCCATACCCTCCCTTTCCCAACAGATGAACATTTCACACTTATTCTAGCACCTCCTAATTTTAATCTGCTTTTTGGGGAGTGATTTAGAGCTCCATGTATTCACCATGCTTCTAAAAATACGCCGTAACTTGTAGCTCGGCGAACGTGGCTTTTTAAAAAATTGTTGGAAGAAAACGCAAAATGAACAGAGTCTTTTGCCTTTTTTTGTTTGCTTGTAGGAAACCTGCCACATCTGATATCCCCTGATCCAGATGCTACTTGAGCTGAAGCTTCCTGAAGTGGGGAGCTTAATGCTATTGGAAGGAGGGGGATAAGATAAGGAGCAGGAGGAAAAACCTTCCACCCCAAGCCCCATCTGTGGTTAAATTTAAAATAACCCCACATGAACAAGCTGATCTGCATTCTGTCCCCCAGACACCTTCATAACAGATGCAACACTCTCTCACATATTCACACACACGAAGTTGAAGTTCACTAGAAAAATCTATCAGATGTTTAGCCTCTACTTACCAGCTTGGAGCCATTGGCATAAAAGAAGCTGGAAATACAGAAAGTTTTCAGTTTGGGGTTGTTTTGCTTCTTCTAAAAATCCCTATTTATTCACTTCCCTTTGAAGTTAAAAGGCAACAATTTTTAAGTACAGATTTATTCCCCTTTATGTAACAGGAAGACCCAGCCAGCTTGTAAATAAGCATAGACTATGCAGATTTAAAATTTAGCACAATTAAACTTTTACCCTGTGGTAGTAATTATGTTTAATGGCTCTTAGCCTGAACTTAACCACGTCTATTGTTGTCAGCCAGTCTAAAAGCAGGAGTTTGTCCAAGGACAATTTTCTGTAGTTTATGGGCACACTAAAAACCCTGCTATGCCCTGTTCTCATTGGCCATTGATGTCAGTGTGTATAGTAAAAATTAAAGCTAATTGGCCCATAGTAATGTCACAGCACCCCGCAGGTTTTTTTTTGGGTGGGAGAAAGAATGGTTGAGGGTTCTTACTGTAAGGAAAACAGGAAGAAACTTCTCATATGAAAACATTAATACCTTTTAACAGATTTTTTGTTTAACCAAGATATTCAGGGGGGCTAAACTGAGAACCTGTTTGCCTATTACTGAGAACCTGTTTGCCTATTTTTGTCTCCCCTAGGAACAACAATCTGGTTTAGTCATTGCCTGCAAGGAGAGAGTCCCCATTTCTTCTCACCCCCTCTAGCCTGGTGTCTGACTAGATAGCAGCTTGCAATCAAAAAAGGAGGAGAAAATTCTTCCCTCCGCAGAAAGAGGAAAAATTTTGGAGCTGTTGACTTCAAAGGAAACAAAAAAAGAGGAAGCAGGACAGGCACATAAAAATAATGAATGGTACAGAAAGGAAAGGTTGGCAGTGTCAACTGGACTTTTTTTAAACACAGGAACAAAACAAGTTCAAAATTCAAACAGCTGAATGGAGACTGATAATTGCCCCCCAAAAAAGGTTTTGTCAACACTGAAAGATAAGAGTTATGAACTGAAGGAAGACTGAACACTAACCTACAGATAAATATCTACATTTGTAGATATTATGTACAACTGCCTATTTTTCTACATATTTATATATCCAGATTATCTGGATATACAAGTTTTGTAAGAGCTATGGAACTCCATGCTGGTGTTGTCCCCAGCCAGGTAAAATCAGTTTTCCCATTTCGAACACCTTCCCTGTTTGCCTGCTGCTGTTTATTTCTTAGTTTCATCAGGGCCTGCTGTAGAACAAAACTTGCTTTATGTACCTGAAATCCATCCTCATGAAAAGAAAAGGCCCCTGCCTTTTGAAACAAACCAACAACTGATTTTTCAGTGAGGATGGCTCTTAAATGCTGCAATCAGTATTTTTCCCATCTGTGGGTATTAGAAATATGCTGAGCTACAAGTGTAACTTGTGACTGCAGTATTGAATATACCAGTAAATGCAGGGAAAGCCTGAACATCACTTAAAAAGATAAAAAAGAATAAGCTTAAAAGCAACTTCAGACAGCTTTGCTGCAATCAGCCCTTGTGTGAATTAGAGAAAGCCTCAGTGATAGGAGCTTCAGCATGGTAAATACATATTTATTTGTGTTTAATTGTGGTGGTGCTGCTGCACCCTCCTATCCAGGACACCGATGTCAGTGCTGCACTGGGAAGTCATGTCAGCTGAAGGAAAGGAAATGCATTTTGATACTAATGAAGTTGGTCAAGCTGTCCTCTCATGAAGCCTTCAAGATCAGTCCCAAAGAATTTGCATCTTGCATGCCAAAGGGTTTGGCATTCAAGGACAGCATTGCGGGGGAGTTGAACCAGTACAAAACAGCCCCTGGCCAAGTGACTGCACTGGTTCAGAGATTACTGGGCCTGAACTTCAAGGCTGCTCAAGGGAGTCTGTCTTCACTTGAAGGACACATCTGAATGTTCATTTATTTTCACTCCTTTGGCCTCTCCCTCCATATTTTCAGTGGGTATTCACAGAGGGGTTGGGACCATGAGCAGGTAGGAGAAGTCCAAGTCTTCCTCCCCTGCCCCAGCCTTTCCCATGGTGTAACTGGAACTGCTGATCTCAAACCCATCCTTGCTCTGGCACTGCTGAACA